CGTAAATAAATCTGTCTCGTTTTTGGTTACACCTTCGCCTATTAAAATATATTCCATTCCTAGTAAAACCTGATATTGTGACTAAATGATGTGCGGTTCTTCTAATTTGGTGACCACTGATTACAGTTAAGTTAAAAAGAGATAAAAACATAAATTCCATAAAATGCCTTTATTTTTCTTATGTCAGAACGGTGCTGGGGTATGCAAGTTTTACCTGGTCTCCATACTACATAAAATATATAAAGGCTTTCGAAAATTTACAAAAAAAGTTTGTGAAATTTCTTAGTTTTAAACAATATCAACGTTTCGATATTTATGCAGATTCTTGCAAATATTTCAATTTAGTCTCATTGGAATGTCGGCGGAGTCAGCATGACTTATTATTTTTGCACGATGTTCTTAATGGGCGAATATACTTATACTTATATAATTTCTCTAACAATCCCTTCCCTACACCGTATGCGACAAGATAGTCACAATTGTTCTAGGTGCCTCGTACGAACACGAATAATCTACATGATTCGCCCATGTTTTCTAACTATGACACTAATTATGAGGATGTTGATATTTTCCACCTCACCAAAGAGGATCTGAGGAAATATTTGACAAGGCGGGAGGATTTTGACTTTGTTTAGCAGTAACAATTTAGTTTTTTTTTTTAAATAGTAATTGTCGTTTGTTTAATGTTAAATTTCAGTTTTCTTTTGTTTTTTTTTCTGTTTGTATATTAATGTACTTATTTTTGTTTTTCGTTTTTTATATATATTGTTTGCCTATATAATCTGTTTTGGCTTTGTATATTATCTAAGTGTTTTGTTTTATAATATGTATGTTGCCTGTTAGATTACTAATAAAAAATAAACCTATAATGTTTCGTAATTTTTGACATAACATAACAAGTCCCGTGCTTTAGCTATACTGCTCAAAACAATTAGCGGAACAAGATTTTTCTCCTTTCTATTGCTTAAACTAAAATTAGATTTAAATTAACTTGTACGCTATTTTTTACCTTGTTAATTTGTTAATTACTACAATTAATAAAAAAATTCAATTTGTATTTTTTTATTAAAAAAAAATTAAAATGTGCATTGTAGACGAAAAACAAAGTGACGTCTTTGAATTTTCATTACTTTCTAATCACAGAAAACACATTTTAAGTAGTTTTTTTCAATCTTTTCAGTATTAATAGAAATTGAAGTGAGCCTTTTGAGTATTGTTATTCATTGAAGCGAGTGAGTTTAGGTCATAGTGCCAGATCTGACTGAATTGCATGTCTCCCGAGCTATCGCTTTGCTTAAAGAGGGTCGAACTATGCGTTATGTAGGAAATGATCTAGGTGTAGCCCCTTCTGTTATCTACAGACTTTGGAAGCGATACCGTGAGACGGGAGAATACTCACGAAGGCGTGGTCAAGGTCGAAAGAGAAAAACTACACGTTTGCAAGATCGCTACATCGTCAACTGTGCTTTACGTAACCGCACCACAACTGCAAGAGATCTACAAAATACACTAAGGACGGCTACTGGTGTAGAAATTTCCGACCAGACGGTAAGAAATAGGTTGTTGGAAGCCAATTTGAGATCACGCCGACCAGTTCGGGCTGTGCGTCTAACAATTCAACATAGACAAGCTCGCCGACAGTTCGCGCAAAATCACGCTAATTGGCAACTTCGACATTGGAGGCCAGTGCTTTTTACTGACGAATCACGATTCCGTCTAACACGTTGCGATGGTCGTCTCCATGTTTACAGACGCCCAGGCGAGCGATACAGTGCAGCAGCAGTCTAGGAATATGACAAATTTGGATGTGGGTCTGTGATGGTTTGGGGCGGAGTTAGTTTGGACGAGCGCACAGATCTCGTCGTTGTTCCCGGGCGCTTGTGTGCTCAAACTTACATTGAAAATGTGCTCGAAGATCATGTTTGGCCCGCAGCATATGGTATGGGCCCAGATTTTCTTTTAATGCAAGATAATGCCAGGCCGCATACTGCAGCCATCACGTCAGATTACTTACGACAGCAGGAAATCCGTGTAATGGAGTGGCCTTCCATGAGCCCTGACCTAAATCCAATTGAACACATTTGGGACTTGCTTGACAGGCGCATCCGAAAGCGTCCGATTGCACCTCAAACACTGCAGCAGCTCACTGAAGCGTTGATTGAAGAATGGGAGCGAATTCCACAAGAAGATATTCGGAGGATCATACGAAGCATGCCGCGTCGTTGTCAAGCCGTGATTAGGGCTCATGGAGGCCACACACGTTACTGAAAGTCACTAAAGACGAATATTCAAACGATATAAGAATATTTCTTTGATGGACCTTTTTTATCACCAATTAGTTTTTCGTCTACAATGCACATTTTAATTTTTTTTTAATAAAAAAAATACAAATTGATTTTTTTTATTAATTGTAGTAATTAACAAATTAAAACAATATAAAAAATAACAAGGTAAAAAATAGCGTACAAGTTAATTTAAATCTAATTTTAGTTTAAGCAATAGAAAGGAGAAAAATCTTGTTACGCTAATTGTTTTGAGCAGTATATATAATGGAAAATCTGGGATTGCGGGTTCCTTACGGAAGAGTTACACTTAGCGAAACCCACTCAAGCAGGCCATGTACTAAACAAGTTATCTTTGGAGATTGACCTATTTAATTTGAAACCAAGACGAAAGACCTTTTAGTTGTTCTTATGTGTTCAGTAGTTTTTGTTATAAAGTAAATACTAAGCCATTAGTTATAAAATTATATAGGTATGTATGTAAATAAGTATTTACAGACCAGGCAGAAAGTAATAAACGGCACAAATATAAGAGTCTTTCCTCCAACTTTTGTTCCCTTTGGAGTAGAGACTCTTGGGCCGTGGGGTTTTAGTGCACATGCACTTATTAAAGATTTATTTTTAATAATTTATAATTACTTTGTAGGTTAATTGTAAATACTGTATACTTAATTGTAATCAATAAAATTAATAAGTATTTTAATTTGTTTTATGCCTTAGTTTATTCGAGATTGACAAAACCATTTCAAAAGAACTATCTATTCAGTGCCAGTGCTCATAGAAGTATATAATTATGTGTAAGGTTAATCAAAATGAATATTGTATTTCAACGATTCCTTGCCTTTTGTATGTTCACAACCTTTAGAATGTAAGTACGAAATTTAATGTTTTTGCGTCAAATAAAGTGATTTTTATTATTATTATTTATATAAATAAACTAGCTGAACCGGCAAACGTCCTTTTGCCATGTTTATCATTTATAATAAAAAATAGGGGTTGATCGTAGAGGGGTGAAAATTAGGGTTTGTATGTATTTTTTAATGCTGTATCATAAAAAAATATTTTTTTTATCTAAAATTTAAAAAAAAATTTAGGGGAGGACTACCCTTAACATTTAGAGGGATGAAAAATAGATGTTGTCCGATTCTCAGACATACCCAATATGCACACAAAATTTCATGAGAATCGGTTGAGCCGTTTCGGAAGAGTTTAACCACAAACACCGCGACACGAGAATTTTATATATTAGATATAAATTTTCTAGAGCATGATTAGTATATAATCTCCTTTAAAGCTAACGTTAATTAAGAAAGTTACTAAAGTTCCCCCGTATAGTGTCTGATGTTTTGAACCTTAGTATTAAATAGAGATTCTATTCATCAGACTTTCCTCTACGTGAGGAGACTGAATATACATCAAGTTGTGTGTCTGTATACATTTTCATCAAAAGAAGTTTTTAGCAGCAGGTTTAAACATGTAATAATAATAATCCAGTGGAGCAGTTCAGATGCAGACTCTCAAATTGTATGCATTTCCTTGATAATTTGTACAGCACTGCGATTCTGTAACTCACATCGTTACACAGATTCATGTGTAACGATGGGCAGCTATCGGCGAATACGGACAACACATAATTGTCTTGGATAGGAGAGGAGATAGATATGGGACTGAAATTAGGGCTAAAGTAGGAAATCAGCATGTTTAGCCATACATTTTGAAAAGGATTACATTCTAAATGTTTTTGTAAATTCTCATTTGTATGTTCCAACCAGAACTTGTGTGGTGACACTCACACGACCTTTACGTACAGCCCTGCGATTCTGTAACTCACTTTTCGAACTCTCACAGCGGTTTTCGCAGCGGCGGTCGCGTTCAAATCAGTCGTGAAGCAGTCATTTTACGATTTGGCATTCTGATAAGGAGGGAGCTTGTTGTTTATTATTTATCAGAATGCGCGGAGAACGTACAAGCGATGAGAAACTTGGAGAACCAGATGGACCGATCAAGTGAAAGTCTCATCGTCCTCAAAACTGTATACTGTCATAAGAGAGGTGCTGGACAGAAACCGGTGGAAACAGATAGTCCGCTCCAGATGCTTTCTTGCTGACCACGACTCTCAGACATGAGCTGCCGATTAAAGAGAGAGAGACTAATATCCCAGAACTTAAGTAGATAGTTCATATTAATTATTGTAGAATATATATTGAATTGTATCATAACTTTGTTTTTAGAGAAATAAAAACAAAGTATTTCATTATTTCCCAAAATGATCAAGAACATTATATTTTACTATTCACACTGAACTATTACAAATACACACATAAAAACCATAATACCTTAGGTAAGGAATAACATTTTTATGATGTAAATAACATGATTGATTTTATGGAGTTGTGTTTTGCTTACAGCACTCGAGCGGCCGTCGCTAACAAGCGGCACTTGAGTCGCTATTACCCGACGAGAAATTGAATTAATGCCATTAGAATTCATACTTTGAGGATGTTTTTGTAAGTCAATTCCGTTGTTAGTTATCGGCTATAGAAATCTCCCATTTATTTTTATTAATTCCATACTATTTGAAGTGTGCAACACTTATTTATTAGAACGTGCAGAATTCCGTGCACTTGGTTTAATTATATGTGCGTAACTAAACCTGCTTGTGCGATGAAAAAAAAAACATCGTGACGAAACCAGCACGTTTAGAACTAAAGATTAACAATGTTTGACAGACGGCCGAATGGTATGTGGCATTGTGGCCACTGTTATTAATTTAGGAATCAACAAAAGTGAATATGTGCTACTGTCCGTAATATTTAATACCACGCACGGACACATATCATCGAATGACGTTCGGATTCGCGTTAATTTGGAGGAAGGCTAGGCAAGGCGAGACGGTACTTTATTCTGGCCGTTATTTGATTATTATTCAAACAATCAATACGCGGGTCAATGATTATACAGCATAATGTTTTCATATGTACCTACTAAATAGCCAGCTTGCTTTATGTAATACTGTATAGTGTATATATAAAATTCTCGTGTCGCGGTGTTTGTAGTTAAACTCCTCCGAAACGGCTTGACCGATTCTCATGAAAATTGGTATGTCTGAGAATCGGACAACGTTTATTTGACATCCCCCTAAATGTTAAGGGTTAAATTAAAACCCCAAAATTTAGTTTTTTTAATTTTTTGATAATTTTTATAATACAGCATTAAAAAATACATACAACCCCTAATTTTCACCCCTCTACGATCAACCCCTATTCTTTATTTTAAATGAAATACATGGCAAAACGACGTTTGCCAGGTCAGCTAGTTAAATATAAAACTCAATTAGACAAAAATGTTTTGTTTAAGCGTGCGTGAAAGTCCCTCGGGTGATATAAGTAAATCATTTAATAGCTATTGCATTCTTTCTCTCTGTTTTTTTTTGTTTGCCTAAAGTCGTAGTTACATTCAGTCTTATAATTATTTTCTTTATGTATCAGTGTGCCGAGCGTTGGCACGCATTTGTAAATAGATAAGTCTCAATCTTGAACATTTGCAAGACCATTTAGGTCTGATGATAAGCCATTGCCATTATTATATATACTACATGCAATGTACTGAACTGGCTAACTAACTAGACATAGTCAAGACAAGTATACAGCTCTGCTCAGCTATAATGTATGTAAGTATAACCTACCATTTTGCGCAGCGATTGTGCTCATTCACCATTCATAATAGCGTCTATATGTAGTTAGGTATATCAGATTAGTTCCGCTCTTGAATAGGAAGCCTATCCGAACGAGATCTATGTTCCGAACAAAAATTTGAAAAGGATTATTCTCTGTGCCTGGAAATTCACTTTGAACTTGAAAAAGCGATCTAATTGAGTGCTACGCTTTCTATTGTCAAGTAGTGTCGGAATTGCATATACATGCTTGCTACCTCGACTGATTATTGGAAGAAAGCTTAAAGTATAAAAATAGCTGCATTTTTAATAATGATGACTTAATTAATATCCGTATCCACTCTTAAAAGGGTACGCACTTGCAAGCATTCTGGATTGTCCATGGGCAGCGGTATCACTTGACACAAGGTAAGCCTCCAGACCGGATTCCCTCTGTTATATAAAAAAATACTTCTAATCAGTGGCGGATAAGCAATTCTGCGAAGCCCAAGAAATATTTGTCTGTGATGTGACAATATACGCTCATGTCCAATAATGGCTTTGTAATATTTAATATCAGGATTTGTTAACTTTAAAATAATAAATATAGACAACCAATCATTTAACGTAATTGTTCAAATGTCAAACAAGTGTGCTTATTCATAGTAGAATTCACGTGTTAAGCTTTTAAACTTTAACAGTACCCATTTTAAAATAGTTAATAAAAGTTCGTACACAAACACCATTTTAAGTTTGCCATTGCAGAATATCTCAAAAAATTCTATCTCAAAATGTACCGCCTCATGAAAACTCCAACATTTTCAATTTAATCCAAGTTTGCTTGCAGGATACTGTATTTCTTATTCATAATACGTCAAGTTTCGTCGTATCGCTACTTGCCAGACTCGGGGCATATTCCATATTCCTATTCCAACCTCGAACGTGATCTGCTAGCCAATGCCACTGAAATACCGCACCACGTACTTATAGTCTATGGCACCTGGTATTGCTCTGGAAGCCTGACAGCTAGTAAAATCGTTGTCACTGCCGCTAGCTGCTTTATTCATTATAATGGGGAGGCGATAGCTGTCAAAATTGGCGCCGAATCGATAACTGCTACTGGGTATGACTGTTATTGGTATATTGTAGATTTAGTTGCAGGTAATATTTATATTTACATTAATATTTACAAATTTATATTAATTCTATGTTTAAGGCTCGTAAGTCAACATACAGGCAATCAATTCGCAAAACAACAATTTAAAGATAATAAATTAATATAAAGAAACATTTTTATGCCGTAATTTATATTTGTTGAACATTTAAGTAAAATTTTCAAATATAACGTGTAGACGTACTTAGCGTGATTAAATTGTAAATCACCGTGAATGTTTCTAGTTAAAGAAAAGCTATAATTATGGTTATGGTTTCTTTAACCCTTTTCATTCCAAAGGTGAATTTGTGTGTTCCGACACACATATTACACATCTCTCGGGTTCACACAACAATAATCGTTTCTAATTCCACATAAAGCAGATCAACGTTTTGCCTATAAATTAACGACCTGTTACTAACTACTAGGGAACTAATGCGAATTAAAACACCATAATTGAGAAGTTATGATTAAACCTAGGAAATAATGTTTTCTTAAGACCTTCTATCCTGTTTAAAACCAAACAAGTTTGATATGCGTTATCAAAACTATTGCATGGTATTGATGTACTTAAATAATTTCGTTAATTTAATTTATGTTACCTTAAAAAGGAACCAAGATAAATGTCCCTAAAATTTTATAAATATTTATTGATTACCCACGTAATTATTATATCTTTACATTTTTTACTAATATGATTGAACTACACAATACCTACGAGTACAATAATAATATCACAATTTAAAATACATTAAAAAAATCTCTGCTACAGTTTCTTGAAAGATCGCCTAAAGTTATCCCTAAATAGTTTTAATTTTAATCATTTCCTTTCTTAAATTTTAAATATTAACATTCAATTCGGTTCAATAACAGCTGTTTCTAATCAGATTGGCCAAAGTCATAAACACTTAATATTTAATAAGTATGTATAGAAAAAAAAAGCATTATTTCCATTCGAGCCCTCTCCTTAACTACCTGTTCAAACTTCACCCTCATCCAATAAATACTGGGAAAGTTTTTCGTGTGTTATTAATTTTTCCCTTTAGCCATATTGAAGGGCACAGTTGGGAAAGTACAATCTTTTGTTAGGTATACTTATTACGCCTTCCTTGTATGACCTTGGTAAAGGCGAATTGTCGTCAGGCTTGTCATGTCACCATCTGCTCCTCTTCATCCAAAGTACCTCTCCAGTTACCAATGTTAGGTCAAGATTTCTTCCTCGTTCTAAAACGTAATTTTCTCTTTTTCTTTTTTAGGAAAAGGGCAGGAGTCTCACTTGATGTTAAGTGACATCGCTGCCCATGGACACTTAACCAGAAGACTCGTGACTGCGTCGCTGGAAGGTTTCCAAGTCAAGTTGGTTCCAAAAGACTTAGGTTAGGTTGAATGAAAACTTTTTTGCTCTTCAGTAATGGCGCCTTTAGGAGCGGCCTGCCACATAAACAGTCCAGGAATAGTGTAAATCACTTAATTAGAATTACAGTACGTGCCTTCTAGTCTACGATAAAATTTATGTTTAAATATTTTAAGTGTAGAGAATATTAGTGCAAGGGCGGTATCTCGGAATCAAGAACATAATCATTATAGAACACTAAGACTGTTATTTTACATTACCTTAGTTTAAGCTATTTATTAGTATTGTAGAATTAAGTCAACATAGTACATATTACTTATTAGCCATAATTATCGTATAGCCTAGATTGTAATTCATGTAAAGTCGCACAATTTTTTGTAAAATTTATAATTAAAAAATATATATATATATATATATAAAAGTAAAAATAACTCTTTTTTCCAGACAAGTAATATCAGTCGTTGAATACAAAACACACGAATATTTTCAGCATCACAGCAAAGTTGATAATGATATTGCAATAATGGTTCTAAAGGTTGTGAATAATTATTGTATGAAAAATATCGCTCTAAAGCTCTTAATCAAATATTGCATAATAAATAACTTATTCCATGGAGTATAGGATAGTTGAATCGAATAAGAAATTATACACTAAGGTTAATGAAGACAGAAAATTTAAAAAATAACATTCATTTATAGCCAAATAAAACATCGTAATTAATTTAAATAATGTTACGCTTTTTCGTATTATTTATGTCTCGGGATGCCTTCAGCTTTCGAACCATATACTATTATCATTATTTTAATTACCCCTTATATGTTTAAGTTAAATTTCTTTCAGGAAAATGTCGATTTTGATGACGGAGATATTGAAAAGGTTGTTTTAATACAGCCTGACGTTGCTCTTCGTGTTAACACGCTGCTACATGTCTACGGATGGGGTGGTCCGGTATGTAACATTAAGTAGTAATACATTGAGTAGTTTGAACTATAAGTTTGACAATTTGTATTATGTTAAGGCTATACACAATTTATATCCCATATATTTTTATTATTTAACATTTTATTTTAAATACAGAAAAAAATAATCTTTACAAATTAACTTATTTTTACTATACTGTAAACAACATAAATCTAAACATATTTAAATTAACGAGCTTATTTTACTTAAACCCACCAAAAAATAAACTTGCAACACTATGATTTTAGTTACTGATTTTACTGCTATCTGTTGAACAAAACATTTGTACAGACAAAACTCTCTTTTAGACCGACGAAGCAACCAAAATATGTCGATTGATATTACTGCCATCTATCCTTGAAGAGTAAAATTATTTTCATTTACACTTGTATTGACTTTAATTCTATTTCAGCGCCCTCAATTAGATATTTTATCAACTACAATGTCTGAACAACGGTGTACACGGTCATTGTAGTTATATTATTAACGTTGATCGCTAGGAGGCGCTGATTGTTAAATAAACATACATGTCTGTACATTAATAAAAGTACAAATAAAATTACACATTAACTGCCTGTCCCGGCTTCACACAGCTGAACGGTTTTTTTTTATATTTTGGAAATAAATATAGGTTTTATTACTAAGAAATAATGTAGTATTTTAATACAGTAGTTTTTAAATTGATTCGTCAGAAACAAAAGAATACAAATAATTCAGAAGAAAACAAATGATCTTTATAAAGTAACGATTTTTTTTTATTGAGATGATAAAAGTGAATTTAAGTACCAACGAAAAACCGGGGTAAGCTACCACACAAAAGGCGAGAATTACGGTCAAATAATACAATGGCACATTCAGCACATGATTAGATAATCATGGGCTGAATGTGAATTCTACCGAATGTGTGCTACAGCCTTGTTTGACGCAGTTTTCATCATTGTACGAGCCAAGAAAATCTAATTGTTGTCTTTGGACATGCTCGGAGTTGAATCATATGTGACCACTAGACTAATGGTGCTCCTACTTTCTATAATTTACTTATAGACTATAATTATAGGTCTACATTATTATAATTGCTTCCAGGACAAAGCAGTGAAGTACCAAAACATGCCCCTGTGTTCCGATATGCTTGTACTTGATAAAACGGAGTGTGTATCTCGTTATGGACAACTCATGACTTCATCAAATTTTTGCGTAAGATTTAATCTTGTAAGTTTATCATATTGTGTAAATAATTCCTATCAGTTCCGTGCGTGTCGCTATAAAAACACAAATGTAATGCACAAATTTTGCATAATGTCAAGTGTAAAGGTGACAAATTGTTTTTTTATGGTACGTAGTTGATTCAATGGTAGAAATCCCAACGAAAATTGTTGTTGAAACCGAATACGCTGCAGTCTGTCTAAATACTACTTATAAAAATTTGAAATAAGCAAATTGAATAGATTTTTAAGACAACACCACACATGCTCACTTACACAACCCCACACACGCCTCAACGTACAAATTATTTGTATTAAAATATATAAAAAATAGCAATACATGGGATAGAGGAAAACAAAAACCCCAACCCCGAGAAAAAAAAAAGGGAGGGGGGAAAAAAAAAAAGGAAGAAAAAAAAAAGCCGGCGGCCCCCCCCCCGGGGGGGGGGGGGGAAAAAAAACCACCCCCCCCGCCCCCAAAAAAAAAAAAAAAATCCAAAAAAAACCCCCCCGGGGGGGGGGGGGAGGTCCAACACAAACACGCACACAAAAAATTAATTTTAGACTTAATAACTAATGTGTATATATAATCTACATATTTTATGAAAGCTGTAATTTACACTAATACCTACCAATTTGACTAAGGTTCAAGAAAAGAGCGTACCAATACTTTAAAGGCTGGAAACGCACTCGCGACCCGACTGGCACTGAGAATGTCCATGGGCGGCAGTATCACCTAACATCACATGAACCTCCTGCCCATTTGCCTGTTCAAGTAATAATCCCTCATCTACTATATGAAACTCCTCTTGATAAAGTTTGTTTTAGTTACGTGTAGATACAAATAAGAGATATAAGATTTTTATTATATAGCGACTGGGCTACTATCGAATTATTTGAAGTGGCAATAAATCACGGGACTTTTATCTATCATAATCTTATACATATTACTAAACCTTTATATGTAGGATTATATTAAGTCAAATATACCCAATAATGTCAAGATAAGCATTCGTAGAATTTAGTAGCGATATCGTAGTACCTACTTATACAACTGAAAAACTACTGGAGGTATAATATTTTAGGTCTGAAAAACGGTTTTCTGTAACGTGATCCTTTGTCTTTTCTAATGCGCAAGTAGGTGATCATCCTTCTGTAGCCGGGTTTCCTCACGATGTACTCCTTCACCATAGGACGAGTGTTAAATGTTCACATAGACAGAAAGTCCACGCACGCTGAAGCCTCTAGAACATTAGAAAAAAAATTAAGAAATTTTATTTTATTTTCCTTAGTTACACTGACATATTCTCTATACTAACCAGTTCTCTTATTTTCCATACAGCAACGAAAGCTGAGCGATAATGGTGGAAGTGCAATATACAATAGGACTTTAGTAGGGATCCTATCAGCTGGAGGCAATAGCAATGAATTGCCGCACTTTGCTATTCTTACTAATGTATCTTATTTCCATAGGTAAGGCTCTATGAAAATATAAGCAAATTAATATACATACATCTTGGATTGTGATTGTCATGAATTTAGTAAATATTCGGAAGGTCTGAGAATAAATCGCAAACTATTTTTAACCACTTCATCTCTTTTTTTTTTCTGGCATTAAAATTACCATTTATTTTCACCACCACTTCCCATTTTTAATAGCGAACTATTAAATGAATATTCTTCATTGGGCATAGATAGATCTATAAGGAAGTCTTTCATATGGAAAAATGAACGGTTGTCATTTGTTTTATTGTATGTAGACTTAAGTCAGAATATGTATTTGAAAATGCCAAAAGCAGTTAACATTGGAGCAATTATTGTAAACTGTGAAACCAGTCCTCACAAATAATATATTTTTATCATGCATGTAATGAAGATAAGATATTTATTTCTCTTATTTACCAACGGTATTAATTTGCATTTGACAACCACGTGACATTATGTACACTTTGTATCATATTTGTATCTAGCATCTTACGAAAACTTATCTTGTTTTTTTGAAGATTACTCAATAAAATAAAATAATTAACCATTTTAATTAATTTTATTTTACACTTTCATTTTACACACACTACACTGCCACGGGGACCACACTTTTTAAATTTGTTTGACTATTCTTTTTAATAATTTTTATTATTACTTTGTAGGTTAAGAAAATTGTAAATACAAATTATACGTATGTAGATTTAAAAATAATATATACTCAGTTGTTTTTAGATTTCAATGTTCGTACTTGAATATGATTATTTAAATACACAAATTTATAGTTTCTGTATCTTCTACAGAGCGTGGTTAGGGTATATAGCATAACATAGTATAGAAGAAGGCTATATTTTCTTAATATTATCAACTAACCTAACAAATCTTCAATAGACACGTCCCTGTGCTCCCAGGAGAAACTTTTAAGCCTATAGTTCCTAACGATAAATAGTAATAAAGAATTAGGGTCGATATGGAATCACGTTGCTATGTCACGTGACAGTAAGTGTCAGGTAAAAACTGCTATGAAAGTTGTTATAATACGAGTACAATGAAATTATAAGACTACCAAGACTGGTGATTACCATTCGGAACTTTATCTAAAATTACTAACAAAATATTACATAATATAATATATTATATAAATGTAACAAAGTCTGATAGTGATTTCCTTTTTTAACCTATCTAGATAATATTAACTAAAGAGATCATAGTTACTTTCAATAGCGATTGCCAATTAATGCTAAATTTTATGACTCCACCATTTTCCGTCAATTCAATGGAAATAATTGTTTCTTTCAGGTGGATTAAACTCAACACGGAGATGTATTTAAGAAAATATTGCACAGTTCCCAGGTCTAATGAGTATTATCATATTGAATCGTCAGAGTTTCCTGAAACCTAGTTAATATTTTTCAAGAAAATTAAATATAATTTTTTTTTAACATTACATAATATACTTTAATTGAATCGCAAAATACATATCATCGTCATCATCAATGGTTATACAGCCCCTTGTGGGCCTTAGCCTTCTCAAGTACACTTCGCCATCGCAATATATCCAGTGCTTCCCGCTTCCAATTGAGAATCCCTATTGTTTCGAGGTCCTTGACAACTCCATCCCACCAACGCAGCCTCGGTCTACCGGGTTTTCTCTTGCCACTGGGTTGTGAGTTCAGTAAGGACCTTGGGGTTCTCGCAAAATACATAACAAAGGTTTATTTTCTAAGCAGCAGAGATCGATTCGAAGCAATCCTAATAAAAACTATGCCCGACGCAGCTAAGAAAGAGAACTAAAACCATCTACTTAGTAATATATTTTTTATAATTAATTTACCAAGTACCTGTTATAAATCAATAACTCGATATTACGAGATAATGTTGTGTACTGATAGCAATTCAAATATAAAGACTAAATAACCTCCTTATCACTGATAACACTTCATCTAAAATAAATATACCGCTAAATGAGGTGCGGAGTACAAAGAGTAAAGCATCAAATCAAGTATTTTCGTCTCTTTCTATCAAATTGTATTTAACACATGATGAAGAAAGATGAATAAGGAGTTTACTTAATACGGTACTGATTTCGTTTTTATAATATTTTATGTTTGATAAAGAGTTCACCGAATGAAACGTATTCAACAATGTAAACCTTACATACTGTGCTGATGCGGCAACCCAAAGTGAGCCTTGAGTTTCTAAGCCACTTGAAGCTCGCGTAGGGCCTTTTCCATGGCGTCTTTCCACCGATACAGAACCTTATATACAATTATTTTATAAGTGGTATAGTTATTTAATATTCTAATGTATTGTTTCAATATGTCATGTGGAGCATGGTCTTACGGTGCATTGACTTATAGTCCTATGAGGGCCAGAGTTTGACTATAATAGTTCTTCAACTCAGTGAAGTAAATCACACATGACTAGAAATCATGACACTGTATTGTCAAGGTCCGAAAACCCTATGCAAAAATAGCGAACTTACAAAAAATTACTAGTACTAACTTACAAAAAGGTAAGGCTTACAACTTAATTGCTTAAGGCTGATTGCCTTCTATTTGTTGAACATGAAATTTAGTAGGTAAGTTGCATAATTATCATAACGACACAGATATCTTATTGCAGATTCGCATATCGCAGTTAGATTTATTCAAGAAAATTTATAAGTAAGTCAATGGTTGCGCAACTGTTATCATTTCTATATCATCTAAGGTATGTCTAAATATTATACAAGTTACTGCAGATAGTAAAATTTATTTATGTAGTGTTCAGTGTCGGAGAGTAAATTTACTTATATAATTTGAGTAATACATAACATATTATAAAGAAAATAGTAAGAGAAACTGAAGCCACATATTGAAATTACATTGTCTACTGGGCTTATAAAACATACGTTCATAGAAAAATATAGCAATATTTTCATTTGAACTATTAAACAATAATGTATTTATTACGGTAGGACTTGATTAATATCATTGTGTTTATTTAACGGTTTTTTCAAACCGGCTGTACACCTTTTTTTTTTTGGGAATGGAATCTCGCTGTTGGTCTTGATAGCGCAGCTCTGGTGTTTAGGTCAGTGTAGCTCAACAAGGATGGGCAATTTCCTGGGCTGTGCACCAATGAAGTTTTTTGTCTAAAGGAATTTACACTTGCTCGGTTTACTTTGCTTGCGGTGAGGGAAAACATCGTGAAGAATACGGCATATTTTTGATCCAAAAAGTCAGCGTCAGGCACAGAAGACTGGATAACTTTTTGGAAACCGCGTCAATTCGCTCCCATACAGTTAGATACAGTTCCTCGATTAGAGGACAAGAAACACAAAAAAAAATTGAAGCAGTATTTCTCGAGCGCATTCAACTAAATCAACGAACTTTTCAGTTTTTTTATATCAGTATTGATTAGTAACATTATTACAATGTCTGTGTCCGGGCTCTTACTTTAGTTCAATCTAACTTGCATGTGTTTTTTTATGGAATAATTATAACAATAAAGCCCACAACCCAAGCCATAATAAATCATTGGGCGAAAATTTTCTCGCGTTAGGTTCATTTTGACGTGTAACAAGAGTTTAAGATTTGCCGCCAATTCATAAAAACAAATGACAAATGAATGCAATATACTACATTAGGTTACCAAAGAGTTCTAAAATTGAAATTAAAAAAAGCTTTAGCAATGTTTCTAACTGGACAGTTCTAAACATTTTCAGTGTTACCCATGTACGAAGTCAGTATACAGTAGGTAATTTCAAAGTCGTCAATAGACAGTCCTATATTACGGTTCCAAATAGTTAGTAAATACATACAAGCGATTAAATCGTTTGTTTATTAAAACAAAAGTTATTTACAAAATTTTCTACATTCTTCTGTATCCACTTTCTGAAGTACCACACGTTGGAATACAAACTTGGTTTGTCCTTCTTGGCACATCCATCACCATGTGAGACAATCCCAATCACCATCCTAAAAAACCGTTAAATTTCTTCTGAATTATTTATTTATTTATACTTTATTACCTTAAACAAAAACATACATATAAAATAAAAGAGCAGGTTACAAAAGTTATAAGACAACGGGTGGCCTTATCGCTAACAAGCGATTTCTTCCAGGCAACCCTAATGTGGAACAATAACAAAGAAACACCTACAGAGGGTAGAGTAAAAGAAGTGCATAAATAATTACCACAAAAACTTATAATAACACGTAACTATAACTAAAATAAAATAAAGTAAAATCTAAAGAAAAAGTAAAAAGTAACAAAAGTATAAAATATATGGGATTAGTGAGTACTTTAAGAAATTATAGTTTTATGGAAAAAATTCTAAATTAATAAAAGCGACCTTTTAACCGTTTAATTTTAAGTGAATATTATTACAGATTGTATGGCATCTATCTGTAGGGTATCTATCCTTATTATTTCTTATGTATCCAATATTACTTGTCTTAGTTATGGTGGGGTACAATAAATTAGAAACAAAGGCGGGACTCATAGTTGGCCTATTATCTACTTAGGCCTATTATCTACTAAGTCTTGAGCAAATCATGTGTTCTCCAAGAACTCAGTGTTCTTTGTACCTGGGGAATATGTGCGATACCAAAAGCCGGAACCAGTCTGTTGCCCAGATTCCTGTTAACAAAGACGTTACGCCTACTGAATGATGTGCAGCGATATTGTCACGTATCTTTTGTTTTTATATTTCATTTTATTTTGACAAACCGTACTATAAGGATAGTGTATGTATTTTTGTAAATAAATGTTTATTTTTCAATAAACTTAGTTTATTGTAGCAGCTATCGCTGATAAAGCATTCGAAACGTTGAGTTAAATAAATAACTAGCGACCCGCCCCTGCTTGGCACGGGTGCAATGCTAAAACTAAATACACTACAAACTGTGAACGTTTTCAAAGAAAAATGTTTAAAAAATGTTATTGTGGGATATCCCTAAGAGATAGACATATACCATCGCGGAGTAGTCTGTAGACCTTTTCAATGTGTACCATACTTAGTACATTATTTTGATAAATCTCGTAGGGTTCAGCCTGCGTTTACAATGTAAGCGGAAAAAATGTAATTATTTACGACATCACATTAGAAACCTCCACTATTTAATGGATGCTATTATACATATAAACCTTCCTTCTTCAATCATTCTGTTTATTAAAAAAAAACGCATCAAAATCCGTTGCGTAGTTTTAAAGATTTAAGCCATACATAGGGACAGAGAAAGCGACTTTGTTTTATACTATGTAGTGATGGAACAAATCGACTTTATATTCAGTATTAGTTTTATATAAATCGGGTAATCAAAGAACAATTTCCCCGATAAAAGCGGTTCTCTTTAAAAAAGTTTTTGAAGTTAAACAAACCGTCGCCAAAGAACACCGCCCCCTGAATCTCCCTTGCAAGTGTCTCTATTCCCCTCTCCATACAAACAAAACATGTCTGCAGTGAATTTCATTTTATGCATCCTTTCACAATCCTCCTTGGGCACGTACCGTAGCTCTGTCTGCATCAGCCCTAGCTCGGAAATCGGGCCGCCATACTGCAAACATATGACTACTACTAACTCTGACGGTCATGCATATTTACCACTGTTATTTTAAATTTAAAAATTAGAAGGTTACAGAATTTTTACATGAAAATGTTTTGAATTATATACACCTTTTATAATATACACCTTTACAAAAGACTTCATTACGTACACTGGTAACTTTTATTATTATTATTTTTTTCTACTAAGTATTTATTACATTCCTTTTCTTTCGTTTTTTGCGACTGAGGCGCAAACTAGCTGCTGTGGTCAGCAGCTGGCAGAATGACCAGAGTAGTGGAGCATTCTGCTCCTCAGAATAATGCTGAGCCAGGGACAATTACAGCCACAGCACACATGCAATTCACACTTGAAACGAACCGAATGGGAAAAGGGTTTTTTTTATTTTATTGTTTTATATATCTCTCATTTTATTTTTTTCCTTGACTATTGTTATTTTGTGTGTTTATGTGTGTGTGTCTTTGTTTGTAATAAATGTTACGTCATTGGTACAATTTAATACAATATGTCTTTCTTCTTTGCTACTTCTAAATTTAGCTACGGACTGAATTTACAAAATGGGTATTTGTGTACCTCGAAACCCTCGTTACCCCGTAATTGAAGTAGACATATCTGAGTCATTGATATGTTTTTTTATATTTATTTATGATACATCTGCGTTCATCAACCACTCAGACACAAAGGAAGTCACAATACAGAATTTAAAAAAATTACGATATCGATGTACACATCTTTCATGTGTAAATATACATAGTCAATTGTCTATGCTGTAAAGGTTTTGTTTCTAGGTTCTACATTCAGATTAGTGGGATCGTGGTTAATATAACAGAGTACTAATAACAGAGGCGCAAACTAACTGTTGTAGTCTCTGGCAGAATGACCAGCGCTGTCGAACACGTCTGCACCACAGCATAATGCTGATCCAGGGCCAGTCACTACCACAACGGACACACATATGTACCTTATTCCTTTTTTTTTCCTTCCAATGGTTTTTATTTTTTATTATTGTTTGTTTCTGTGTGTGTTTCGTCAGTAATAACTGTTATGTCTGTCTGTCTGTCATTTAAGGCTAACTAGGAGATTCAGAGTTGAGCTTTAGCGTATAATCATTAAACGTATACGATTTGTCCTCATTAAAGGTACACAATAAAGGTATATCGCTCTTGAAATACGTTTAACATACCTTAGTCGTTCCCCATCCCGTTGCAATTAAGTGAGTTTCATTAGCATTCATCCACTCGCTTGTATTAACAAGTAGGCCTTTCTCAGATCTTTTGCCGAAACTAATTGGGCTTGTTACAAATATTAGCGCGATGTCGCAAGCAAATGGCATAACTTTATTGTAGTCTTCGTGAATAAGGTACCGCAATACATCGTACGTTGCCGCAGAGTGGTCGTAGGCGTAACGAGAACCTAAAAAAAATGTATCCTGTACAAGCGTCGCTTTACGTAAAGGTTCTCAAGGGTCGCTTTACGTAAAGGTTCCAGGCTTACAACCGACCAGAGAATCGCTGCGTGCTACACCTTCTGGGTTATGTGTTATACGCCTTGGCATACGTTCTTATGACAGTACAGTTGTTAAAGGTGCAGTGCTCTCATCCCTGAGGTCGTAGGTTCGATCCACGGCTGTGCACCAATGGACTTTCTTTCTATGTGTGCATTTAATATTTGCTCGAACGGTGAAGGAAAACATCGTAAAGAAACCGGCTTGCATTAGATCCAAAAAGTCGAGGGCGTGTGTCAGGAACAGGAGGCTGATCACCTATTGCCTCAATGATCATGAAACAGACACAGAAATCTGAGGCCCGGACCTAAAACGGTTGTAGCGCCACTGATTAATTTTTTATTTTACCGTTGTTATATAATACTGTTTCACCGTTATTGCCATGTTCTTACATTAATAGGACTGATTATTTTTTTGTTTTTTTACATCATCAGAGGCAAAGAACAAATTACAAAACGCGCACTGGGAACCAAGGAATTGTTATATGTAGTTCCCAGTATATAAGTTAAGTAACTTCAATTAAATGTTATTATTGATATACAATCACAATATAATACTTTAAGAAGATCTTAAATTTGATAGTGTTATAAAATATCTCCATAGCCATCGAAGCTGTTTATATTGTTCTTTCGATTATATCATTTATGTTTTCTTTAAAGCTATGTTTTTCCTATAAATGCCTGGTACAGCAAAGTTACTATATTTAATGTATGCAAGCCAAGTCAAGCCTTGGCAAAATTTCTCAGCCCTAAAAACTTACCGACGACAATTAACATTTCATCGATATCCTTGCTGTGGTCAAAGCAATGAGCTGCTGTCAGAATACTCCAACTATTAAGTATGGTACCCGAACACATCGCACCCTGATTAAAAAACTTAACAGCAAACGGAAAACTTTCCATTTTCACCGGTTTCCCACCAACTATTTTCCCTTCAAAATTATCTAATACAGAATCGGCTTTCACACATTCAAACAAAAATGGGAGATAAAATAGCATACTTAAAGGCTATGAACATGGCTCTAATCATTGCGATATTGCTTGATAGGTCATAAACTTTATCGCTTATTACAAGATTAATTTATTTTCATAGACTGTGATATTGTAGATATCAAAGTTTTATTAATACTAAATATCTTAAACAAATCTATTTGTAATAGATAACAGTTGTTTAGAAAAGTTTGAAGTAAATAAATTTTTAATGTAAATAAATACTCGTGTATACAAATACATTATGATTTAAAATTCTATTAGACAACATATATTCCCGTCTTATAAGAAAAAGAAACTCGCTACGATTCTAAAAATTATCGGATCTTAATACAGTTGCCCCGGAAGCCGGAATACATTTACCAGTCGTCCTGCTCAAGCATTAAGGATCGACAATAAACACATTGCGATAGCATTCTTGATGTGAAATGAGAGAGACAAAACTCCCGCCCGCCCTGCGATGTTTAGTCGCCCATCGGTGCCCGCACGAGACGCGCGGCCCTTAATTTTACCTCAATTAGGTTATACTACAAAATATCATATCACTATTGTTATAGTATAATTGTTTTTCTAAGCGTGAGATTACCGAAAGTGCTTTTCGTAAGATACATAACACCATAGTACATAGGAATATTGATCTGTGGGTTTTTAAATATGAATTGATAATGGATATTCAAATAACAAGGTAAGATGTGGGGCAATTTAATATTTCATTTCAAGAAACACCTGTTTGAGTGGTGTCGACTTTTACGATGTTAGGTTAAATTTGGTTTAGCTTTGAGAAATCTTGTTAAATATCATTTGTAATTTTAATGATAACTTTATATTTTTATTAATAATGGAAGCCTAGCGTTTAAGTAATACATATACAGCAAGGAGCGTTTATTTTCTCGTAATATAAATAATTATACCAATACTTTCCTTATCATGCACTGAGCTGCTTTCTACATTAAAATAAGCGTTCGTGATTTGTTCACGTGTTACCTTATTTTAGTACCAACATGTATTATGGTACAATAAATTAAATTCTTATTTCGAGGAAATATCGAAACAATAATTTAATTTAAATTAAGCTAAACTATTATATTGTTTATTTATGACATTGTAAACAATCAATATTACCTCGAACAGCTCAATTAATCTAATTCAATTTATTATAAGTGTCACAAATAATTTCAACTAATAATTAGAAAACAAACCTTGGCAGTTTCTAATACATTTATATTGAAGGAAAGTCGCAGTTTTAATATTGATTGCTGCCTATTTCCCGTTTTCCTTTTAAATTCGTTTCAAACCACAATCGTTTAAATTCTCGTACATTTGATAAATCAATCCAATTGGTTTCCGAACGTATAATAAACGCAAATTGACACAATAAACTACCTAACGTAGCGACAGGCCCAATCACTCGTTTATAATTCGTTTACTGCAAAGGGTTGTTCTTTATATTCTCTTTTAAATGTGAGACAATTCTATTCTTTTCTTTTATTAAAATTCTATTCTTTTTTTAAATGGTCTATATAATAACATATAGTATTTAAAGGCAATATCAAATCAATATGACGCAATGGTCTACTGCCTCCTTCCAGAAGCCCTTAGATATGATGTTTCATGATGAGGTATATGGTATATGGTTGTGGACTCATTTCCACTTAAAGCTCATCGTCATTGTGCTAAAGTCCTGGCTAACTATGCCAGCCTGCTCCCTGGCACAGAAGTCTCCTGGGACTCTTCGCAGGCTACACGGGGCCTTCGCTCCCGGGCAGCGAGGTACCTCACTGCCCCGAGGATTTCAGCACGTTAGGAAGCCGCAGCCAAGCTCATTCCAGGACTACGTGGGTGACTTATTCCTCTGCGCTGAAACAGCTAAACAAGGGACTATCCGTCGCGCCTAAGACAAAAAATGTTTATTAAGGAGACAGTGGCCCGTAATTGTCCCTGTCATTGTTTTGAGATTAGATCTGTTCTGTTCCACGTTTCGTGACTATCGGTGATGTTAGAGTTCTGTGGATCTTCAGCGAATCCAGGTTCGCACTTGCGAGTAGGGCAAGAGAAGGAGCGAATACGGGCCACCAGCATCATTCCGAAGTGCGGTGCTCTCAGGCGCTCATAAGGCGCCGCCGCCGGCATTAATAGTACACTAGAGATTCTTACGACGTTTGTGTCCTTTTACGCTTTAGGTTTTAGTTTACTAACTCAGAGCTAGCGAATCGCCCTTGTGCCCGTGGTTTTTTGGTTTGTCTTATGATTCCCACTTTACACTCAGTAATTAATTTTTTTTTTGTCTTTTAATATTTTTCAATAGTATGAGTACTACTGACGTTTCACTGTCGAAGAGCATGAATTAGATGACAGAAGATTTGTCAACTTTAACCTGTAAACTGGTTGAATAAGAGAGCATTTCCTGGCTTTCCAATTTATGCTTTCTGCTCAATCGTGTACAATGCGCTGGAGTAAGTCATTCATAATAAAAAACTAAACAAATTCCTTTATATTAGAATAGAACTAAGGCAAAAGATGATAATGGCGACCTTGCGCGGTAAGAATATTTATATTCGGCATTTTTATGTCGTGCGCCAGCATAGTTTGAATTTAATAATAAAGACAATGCACATCTCATACACGACTGCTTTTTTATTATTGCAAGAACTTATAAATTTTTTCGTCCTCTACAAAAGATGGGATTTATTACAAAGATAGTCATAATCTGACCTTAAAAACGTTAGATAAAGATAACATCATAAATACTATGTAACAATTTAATTCCGTCTTTATTTTCACGGCAAGTTGGCCAGCGGACGTTTTAACTTAGTTAAGTGGATTAAACTAAAGGAAAATTTTCTTTCGTCATAATTTAAATAATTGAAACTTGAATTCTAAAAAATAGGCAAATTAAAGTAAATCCCTCAAAGGCCCAACACACCCCTAAAAATTTCTTTGAGATTCAATACTGCCATTTTTCCAACTAGCCCTATAGAAAAGGGGGGGGGGGGGGGGGGGTTTGGCAAAGGGGGGGGGGGGGGGGGGGGGGGGGCCCTGGGGCCACCGGCATTTTCACCATACCCACCGGCCTGTACCTCTCTCGGCAGCATGATTAAGCTAGAGATCTTCTTGTACTTTTTCCACAGTAGGGTTACCTTGTGTCAGGTTATTCTATCACTGCATTGTGACTGAAGTATCTTGTTTGTATCTTTGTCTTATACGCTTTTAGCATAACGATCTTAATACAAACTTACAATCTTATTGCTGTACGGCTCTGGGTGCTTTCGGTAAAGCGACACATTCACAAAAAATTAAATCCCCGTTTCCCTATTTTAAGTCAGAAGATGTCGCGACCTTGAGCTTATATTCGATTTGTATTTGGTAAATTTGAAATACTAGATAGTATCTATGATTGATTTTACACTTAAGATTTACAGAATGAATCTTTCTATTCGTATAATACTAAAATTATAAAGAGAAAAGATCTTTGTTTATTTTAACAAATACACTTGAAACAGCTGCGGTAGGTCTGTGAATTGGTCATAATTTATTTTAAACCTTAAAGTGTCAAAGTGTAAACCTCAAAGACAAGATCTTAATTTTTTTAATTCCTATATTATGATTATACAAATACCCCTTAGTTTTCACCATACCACCAACCTTACCTTCCAATTTAAGCGAAACTGTCATAATTTTCAAATATATGTGCCCTATGCCTCTATCTCTATAACTGATAAATAATAATAATCAATGGTTGCTTTTCATAATCTTAAAAAGATCTCACAATCTTATTTACCTCTTTTTCTAAAACATTCTTACAATCTGTTAAGATATCTGATGTCTATGAGAGATAATTTTGTTTCTTTAATGGTCCCTGTCTTTCTTTTATTTGTTAAGTGTTAATATTTACTAATCTAATTATTTAATATTAGATTTTTAACGATTAACGATTTTGCTAATGCTCTGACTTAGAAATGTTAAAATAATAAAAACAAAGAGGAACTACAAAAATAGTAGAAAAAAAAAAAAAAAAAAATAAATGATTTTTGAATTTGATTTGATTTATATGAATTTATTACAAATACAAGTTCAATAGACAACCCTATGATAATAAAGTTATTTTGTACCCTTAAGCCGTCAGTTTAATAACGCGCGAACTGCACACGCTCAAGGCTCAGTTGTTTCTGATTACGTTTGATGAAATTGTCCACAATATTTAGATAACACTTTTTTTCTCATATACAAGAAAAAAGCAGATAAACTTTTCTTCTACCCAATACAAATTTATGTTTAGTGTATTCCAAACACACTTTGGCACGATTGACCACAAAGAATAAGTCCGGTTACTTACGTACTAAGCTTTTTTCAAAATTACTAGAGAAAATTAAAAGTTAACCTTAATGACACAACTGTCACACAGGTACAATGGGCTAACAGACTAACTACCACCTCGCCAGAATATTTTTGTATACAAAAAGTTGGTTTATTGCGGTTTAGGAATAGGGGTTTATAGTTTTAATGATAACTGCAAATAATTCGCAATTTTAAGCTTGTTTAAAGGGAATCCAAAATATTTTATTTCAATGTCGTTTTTCGAATCGTTGCATGCAATAAATTTGCGTTTTTATCCATAAAAGGATTTTTATCTTTTGTATTAATGGCCTTTTTGTATTTGTATAATAACATTCTGTACCTTCACCAACACATCTTTAATGACAATTTTATATACAACTGACAAAAGGAAATAAACCTTCAATCTGCAAATTGGTCAAGGTAGAGGACGATTTGGAACTCGGTCAAGAAGTCAGCAATGATTGACAAAATATTCACGTAGACCTTCCACCTGCAGATTCGTGTTTATAAATTGTACTATTTTAATTAAAGCTTCTTCTGTAATATATTCATAAAAACCAACACGGCCTACAAAAACCATAGACTAAAGCTGTTGCCATGGTTACGATGTCTTTCTTTTTCATGTAAAAAAGAAATGATGTTGATCTTGTGATAATTCAAGCACTGATCTGTCCTCTTTTATAGCGACGTAAACAGATTGGCAGTAGATTTTTTTTTATTCCGTTTTTATAAGGAGGTCGATAATTTCCAAAACTATCTAATATAATTTACGCTAACATCTATGTTTTACGCAAGTTTTTCAAAATAAAGAAAAATAATATTCACTATTGTAAACAAAATTAAAAATGTGTTTCTCTTAACAGAGTCATCAATTATCACTTAAATAATAAAAATGCAAGGTTGGGTGTGAGTCAAACGCACCTGAATTTGATGATACTGATTGTGCAGGAGTCTCGGGGACCCTTGATTGGAACACCTCCAAGTGATTTTAGCTTTAGGATAAGCGTCAAAGTATTTTAAAAAAAATTTTTTAACTTTTGTGAATTGTATTGAAATTTATAAACAATCCGCCATTATCTAACTACTTTTCTATTGGTTATAAGAGATGTGACATTCTCGATTTCTATTGGTTATGAGTGATGTGTCATTGTCGTTTTCTATTGGTTATAAGTGATGTGACATTTTCGGTAAATTAATTGGATCGATTATTTTCTCATTTGTTATTTTTAAAGTTGAACCTAATCGAATCGATTATTTCCTCATTTGTTAATTTTATAGTTGAACCTAATTTAAGCATTACTTGTCAAATGTACATACATTACATTAACTTCATGTTTTAATTAATGTATGGTTCCGAAAATTATTAAATTATTCAAATAGTACCCAAAACCGAATCAGAGCACCCCACTATCCACGTGGTCTTGTCTGCCTTACCCCTAGAGTGTATATAAATAATCGGAGGCGCGGAGGAAGAGGCTTGAATAAACAATTACTATTTAGATCGGAGCTGTCCACAAAAACAAATATTATTTGTTGGTTAGGTTAGAGTTATAAAAAAAAAATTTTTTGCCGCAGGAAGACACCCGGACCCCCGAAGCCGAGGCTCATTCTTCAAAAAACAAATATTATTTAGATTGGTTAGGTTAGAGTTAGTATATGAATATTTGGTCGCCGAAGGCGACCAGGACGCCGAGAAGCCGAGGCTTGAATAAACAATTACTATTTAGATCGGAGCTGTCCACAAAAACAAATATTATTTAGTTGGTTGGTTGGTTAGTATATGAATTGTCGGAAGGCGACCAGGAGCCGAGGAGCTTGAATAAACAATTATTTGTGCTTCCACATAAACAAATATTATTTAGATAGGTTAGGTTATATAAATATTAATATACTAACCGTATATTAATATTGTTTTTAAATAACTGTTCAACTGAAACTCGAAATCGAAAACAAAATCGGATTTAAAATCGGATTCAAAATCGAATATTTCAATAATTACTAATTCACTTTCACAGAATAGATTATTTTTCACATCTCTATTCTCTACTATTCATTGTTTAAAGTATAAACGCAATCGGCCATTTCGAATTTGGATTTTGCCAGAACAGTGTGTGTTCACAGTATTCAAGTGCAAAATATCAGTAAAATATTTTAATATTTTTAATATTTTTTTTTTTTGGTTTCCTAAGCCCAAAATTTGTGGGGGGTGATTACTACACCCCTCCCCCCCCCCCCCTCCCCCCGCACCCCAAATTTAGGTACTTCTCTCTCACATCTTTACCAAAATGCATAATGGTTATTGAAGGTAATTTTGTTTTGATGTCAAAGTATTTAAATTGCAGTCACGTACTTAAATTAATAAAATGGTCGAGTGTTTATCATAATTATAAGCAATCAACAGAATATTTAGTATAAGTGTCTTAATAAGAAGTTTATCCGGTGACCTAGATTTTTAACTGATATGTTGTTGAAAATCTTGCGCAACGGACGAACAGTTGAGTTAGTACAAATCTTTAGTCATTTTTTTTTTAAATCAACGTATTTGAAGATCCATAACCTC